GCGCCCTTCCTACTCGACATCGACATGGTCCGTGGATTGGATCCGATGAGTGAACCACCCTACGGATCAAATATTTTCCGAACCACCGCCGTCCGATTAACTATTTTTCCGACATACCATTTTCGGATTAAATATTTTCCGGCCTCATCCTCATCGGATCCAATCCGTGGACGATGTGCCTCCCCGGGTGTTGGACGACGAGAGGTCTCTATGGGCGACGACGTTACAGATGGTTGCTCTGTGCAACAGTGTAGCATTCGTGCGTCTATAAAAGGAGCCTCAACACCTCGATAGGTAGAGAGAGAACAGAGCGCTCCTTCATTTCAAGTTGCACGAGAAGTTTGACACCGGGGCTCCCACTCGTGGTTCATGGATTGGATCCGATAAAGTCCCCCCGTCGCTCATCGGATCCAGTCTGTGGACCACCCAGAGAAGCTCTACTAACCATACTCGAGATGCTTCGTCACCGAGCGTGAACGACAAGCCTCGACGTCGATATGATTCATGGATTGGATCCGATGGGTCGTAGTATTTTATCGGATCCAGTCTGTGAACCACCGAGATAGGCTGTCAAATTTGTGGTTGAGTCGAAGGAGTGCTCTGTTCTCTATTAAGTTAAGGTCCTGCCTCGCATATTTATATAGAAAGGTTGTTGCCATCGTTCGGTGTCTCCGTGTTCAGCTCGTAGACGAAATCCTTGTCTAGCTGAACATTCATTACCACACTGAAATCGTTGCCACATATTATTTCACAGTTTAACACGTAGTCGATGTAGAGCTCGCTTTCGGATAAATGAAGATACTGAGCTGTGAGATAATATATGGCAACGATTTCAGCGTGGCAATAAATGTTCAGCTAGATAAGGATTTCATCTATGAGAGCTGAGTACGGACACGTCGAAACATGACAATAATCTTTCTCTATATCTATGTGTAAGGCAGGACCTCAACTTAATAGAAAACAGAGCACTTCAACTCAAATTGTACTACAAGTTTAACAGAAGAAGACGTTATTCTGGTTATACCATATACGTACCGTTCCATAATTTAGGGGCCAGTTGCTAATCGTTACTAGGGTGATACTTAATGCACGGTATCGATAATGGGTTAAGAAGAAGAGTGTAAGATAGGAATTGCTTGTAGTATGCTCGTAGTTCGAAATAATAACTCGGCCACCACACAAATTCTTTAGTATCTAAGCGAAACCAGTGACCTTCCGATTATTTGGGTCACAGTTTTCCCTATCTTCCGCTCACAGGATCCATTGCTCTTACAGTTCCCTGCATCATTCACTTCTCCCATCTGCTGCGATGAATTTAGCCAATAGCGTCCAGTATTCGTTAGCGCGCTCGAGATCGCTTTGCCCTCGATCGCTTTGCTTTAGACCGTGTTATGCGTCCACTTCTTTGGTCTTCTTCGACTTCTTCCTCTTCCGCTTCCTCTTCCGCTTCTTCTTCATTCGATTCTTCTTTATCCACTTCTTCATCCGCTTCTTCTTCATTCGATTCTTCTTCATTCGCTTCTTCTTCGGCTTTCTTTTTATTGTCTCCCCCCCTTTCACGGCCTTCTTTCTTTTTGGATTTCTCTGCTCTTCGGTACTTAATCCAGATGTCTGTGCTAACCTCCGAGAAAGGAATATAACGCTCTTGATGTCTAGGCCACGGTGAATCGGGTGGGTGTGATATGACGTCGCGCTTCTTTGGGGTGATCCAGAGGAATTCTAATTTAATGTCGAACGTCGATAGTTGTTGCTCGGCCCACTGACGGTATTCATCCAAGAATCCCCGATAAGAATTCGAGTGGGTTTTGGCCACTGTAATCTGGAGGGGAAAGAGAAGTAATATCGGTCTTTTTCTTTTCGCGGTTCTTTTGGGGTCCTTAATAAAGACAATCATTCCATCTATCGTCTTGTAATTGGTCTGTCGAGGGCGATAAAGTACCGGATAATCGCGGATATCGGACTGAATAACGGGTTGAGTCTGAAAGAAGCTTAACTCCATACCTTTACTACCCCACTCACCAACCCTTAAACCTTGCGACCGGATGGATGCGAGGATGGCGTATTCCATCATAAACCCGACGACAGATCGATTGTGGATAAAGTGGGGCAATGAATTCAGAAAGTTGATGTCGATAAAAGTAACATCCAACTCGAGAAGCTTATTTGTTACCGCGTCACGAACTAAACCACAGGTATACCGTCCAATGTCGTCCTCATCGCGATAAAAGTACCGATGGTCGATGAGTTCGAGGAATTGCCTCCATTCATCTGGTACAGGCTCGTTACGGACGCAAGCTTTCACGTAGTCGCAATACCTGAAAAGTCAGAAATATCATGAGCATCCAATCAGTCGAACATACCACTCCCAATTAGTATCCGTAGCAGTAGACTTAACTAGCTGCGTAAAACCCACTGAATTGCCATAGATTTGGCGCAATTCGGTGGTTGTCAAATTAATCTTTCCATCCTTCACGCATTGCTTCAAGAGCAGCGGGATGCAGCCGGTAAAGTCTTCAACATCGTTCTCGGAATACCCTCTCTTATCAATACCTTCATGCTGCTTCCACCACTGCTCCATTTCCGTCTAAGTAAGTTAGAAACCTTGCTGTGACACAAATTTACTGCCACTCACCTTAGTGAAACCGCCGTAGGCGGGTACCACCCAGTCCGAGTTCTGACAGTTAAACACTTTCAGGTCGTTCGTACAATTTGCAGAAGAACTGAGGATTGCTTTATGGGAAGAAGTGAAACCGATCACCCAGTCATGTAGCGTCAGGGCCATCTCCCTATTTCGAATGCTATCACTCATCAAAGCATTTATTTGATCAACGACAAATACGACGTTCTTATTCTTTTGGGACTTGAAGAATTTCCGAATCTGGTCTTCGGTGTTTAGGGCCATAATCTTCTTCTGGGTAGTGAAATCGTCGGCCCAGGCGAACAGCATTGCTGCCACGACGTAAGAAACAGGGTCATCGAGCAGGCTTCGACAATCCGGTAGATAGACGACTCGTTCATCTTGAGCAACAAAGTAGCAGACGAGGGCGGCTAGAAGGTGAGACTTCCCAAAGCCCTGGGTTCCATAGAGCCAGCATCTTCGGTAAAACCGTTCCTCTCGCACTTTCTTTACCTCGTGGAGGAAGTCTTTGAACATCGTTCTCCCCATATATAGCCACTTTCCTTCAGCTATATCGGGCTCTTTAAATCGTTCTGGTATAGTATCGATAAATGGGAAGTCGAGTATGTGATTTAATGTGGGGTCGGAAAGTTTATCGACAGCTCCAGGAAGAGAATTGACGGAATCAGAATGCTGGTCGGGAGCGTCGTTCATTTGAGTAATCATATTCTTGATGGCCTTTCTTCGCTTATTCGCTTCAGTGGCTAATTGGATCAGTTCGTCTTCATCTTCATATTTTTGACGTCTTTTTGGTGAAATGGGCGGCTCTGTAGATGAATCTGTTTCATTCTCTGTAACGACATTACCTGGCTGTCGTACAGTACATTAAAGGCGTAATTACCTTTCCTCTTTTGGCCCGCCGTCTTGTTCGGTTGATTGTCTTGACACTATTAGCTGGTATCTAAGTTGCATCCACAGTCTAATCTTACTCTGTTTGCTGAATTCACTCGCAAGAGCCGCAAGAGCCTTATAGACCCCCAGGGGCAAATGAATTTCTCTGAAAAAATCTAGATCCTCAGCATACTTCGAGAAGGCGAAGCCACTGATTTTTGCCGCTTTGAATGTCACAATGTCCTCGTTATGGCGGAAAATGTGTGGTTGTGTTTGCCGTATCCATTCGAGCAATTGCTCATCGTTCCAACTTTCCATCTCTTGGATTGTAGGGATTCTCTTCTGGCCTTGCCCAGCTTCCTGATTAGAAGCGTTCATTATGATCGACGTGAAGCAGGGTCAAACACGGGAGACGGTATGATTATGACGACTCGAACGCAGGTTGTGGAGAATTCAAACTCGCCCATAAGCGTACGCGAAATGCCGTGAGACAAGCGGTTGCGAGGTTGGAGGCAAGAGTCTTCGATCTGATTATGAGGGTAGAGGAAGCAACAAGTGTAGCGTACACGGTGGAGAACTTGTCGACAGCAACGAGAATGGTGAACAATATAAGGAGGAGATTGAGTGGTTATTTAAGTAGGAAGGTTAAGAGTGCAAGTTGCCTTGAGTGTCACTGCGGGAGTTGAGTTGAGTTGATTTCATACACCCTATGTGGGCCAAGCCCATGGGGGACTAGCTAATTGCTACGCGTTACCTCTACTATCTATCGGTTCATTCCATGTCCAGCTATTAGATCCGTCGACTCTACAAGACTAATGCCCCTTTCGATTTTCCTAAGTGTTACTGGTCATTCAATGGTGCTGCAACTTCCGGTATTAACTCTCGCCTTTTCCTTTAGGGCAGCTATCTATCTTATAAGTTCGTCTGCAATCATCCGGTAACTCTCGCAAATTCAATCACTGCATGGATGACTTCCATGTTCGCCTTCCATTTGCTCTTTGGGCCGTCTAGCGTTTCGTTGAACCACCCTCCAAGGAGATAGAACACATCCCACCATCTTGTAGTTACTGTTTGAAGGTAACGTCTACGCTCCAGTGTCCATCGTGAGCACTCCACAAGAAAGTGTCGCACTGTTTCCGGTCGTTGACACCATTCATACAACTTCGAGTCTATCGCGCTAATGCTGTAAAGGGCACTATCAAGACGACTTTTCCCGTGCGTAGCTGCGCCACGATTTGGGCTTCTTCCCGTTTCAGGCCGTTATAGATTCGTCGTGTGTGAGTGCCTGGTAAAACGCGATCTAACTGCTTCGTGTATTAGCCCTCGTGGACAGGGTTCTCAACAAGCTAAGACGATTTTGGCAAGACTAAGCGCTCGCTTAGTCTTGGTGGCGCTCGTCTCGTCTCGTCTTGGTCAAGACGAGACCAAGACGAGACCAAAACGAGCGGGAATGCTGAGGGAATAGATGCAGAAATGCATACACATTGGGCTATGGAGACTTGTCTATCTGACTATCTAAGGATAATGAGCGACTTTAAATACACAGTTGCTCGTCTAGGCCCAGGGTCGATTTCGATTCCTAAGGCATCGATACGGAATCGATACTAAGCGGTATCGATAAGGAATCACTAGAATCGATTCTTTTATCTGCACGTGACCAGAATCGATCCCTTGACCGACTTTGAATTTATCATCTTCTTTTTCATTTCGTACGATGATTTCCTTTATAACATGACCTCCGAAACAAGATTTCCAGCTATCCACTGAATCCGATGAAATACCACAGCCCATCGGATCCAATCAGTGGATTATCTCGACGTCAAGGCTTGTCCGTTAACGCTCGGTTACGAACCATCTCGAGTGTGACTAGTAGAGCTTGTCTGAGGTGGTCCACAGACTGGATCCGATGGGCGACGAGAGGGGGATTTCATCGGATCCAATCCATAGATCATATCGCGCCCCCCGGGGGGGAGCACGTGATACCGGAAAATAGTTAATCCGTTGAGGGTTGAGTGGTTCATAAACTGGATTCGATGGGCGACGAGAGGGGCCCCGGGGGGGAGGAGCACAATCCCGGAAAATGGTTAATTCGTTGGGGGTTAAGTGGTCTATAGACTGGATCCGATGGGCGACGAGGGGAGGGCGCTCTCTGGGGGTTAGCACGTGATCCCGGAAAATAGTTACATAATAACGCCAAGCCATATACTTACGTGATTGGTCGGCTCGCTGCTCTTGGCGTCGCCGCACAACGCCAAGCCCTGGCCAGGCGATTCCAAAATTAAAAAATAAAAAAAAAAAAAAGTTTATATTTTATAATGCCAAAAATTGTTTCAAAATTGACACCAAATCGTGGTTGACCTATCAAGGACGTAACCGAGTGGTAAAACACTGGGCTTGCAGTCGAACCGATAGAATTGAGGGACCTTACTAGTGTTCGATCATAGGTAAGGTAAGAGGGTTGTCCGGCCTAGATTTCTAGGTGCCCTAGATGGGTAAACGTAATGCTCCAGCCAGTGATTGTTGATGTTAAACTGAGTGATACCGAGGGGGGTTCAAACCTTCCTGTCGGTGAACTTGTCTAGCTTAAGCATTCATTGGTTGTGGCGCCCCATTTATCAGTTCGTCAGTGATGGACTATAGGAGGGGAGCTTTGGTGTTGATTATTTTTGTCGAAACGTGTATGTTGTAGAGATCTCCTCCTTTGTGTGTGTGTGTGATAAAAGCCCTTCGAACGGTCTTGGCAGGCCCACTGTGGCTGTCGAATAGCCTTATGTGCCTGCGTGGTAGTGAAGTTATGAGCTATTGTTCTTCTACGACTTGTTCTGCCAGCTTGCTGAAATATATACACGTTTAGTTGGCCCTATATCCTATATAGCAGTGAACCCCTTTTCCAATAAAGGGGCACTTGCTACTATTCAGTCGTTCAATGAGACCTTGTGTTGGACAGGGGTGTTGTGTGTATATTGTTGAGAGAATGAATGCGGAAGTGCATGCGCATTGGGCTATGGAGACTTGTCTATCTGACTATCTAAGGATAATGAACGACTTTAAATACACAGTTACTCGTTTGGGCTGCCTACAGCACAGGCATGAGTACAGTTTGGACAATCCCCCCGTCGCCTATCGGATCCAGTCTGTGGACCACCCAGAGGAGCTCTACTAATCACACTCGACAGACTTCGTAACCGACGCGTGAACGACAAGCCTCGACGTTAAGATGATCCATGGATCAAATCCGATGGGTCGTGGAACTTTATCGGATCCAATCCGTGGACCACCCAGACAAGCCCTACTGATTACACTCGATATAGTTCATGAATCCGATTCGATGAAACACCACCGTCATTAGATCTAATCCGTGAACCATGTGGCTTCGAGGGCGATCCCTCTCGATATCGACATAATTCATAGATCGAATCCAGTCTGTAGTCCACCCAAACAGGTTATAATGTCGAATCCAGTTCATAAACCACCCTTATAGAACCTGCCTTCTTCTTGTCCTCTTTAATATAACCTCGAATTGAAACACTAGTAGAGACAAGATTTAATGGAAATGATTTCCTGTCGACTTCATGATACTGAAAATTTTATTGAACCTAACGTAGTCGATGTAGAGCTCGCTTTCGGATAAATGAAGAAGACGCTGTTCCAGTTGCACCACAGTGTTTATCTTTATCTTTCCGCATAAATCCGGTATTTTGAGGATATGGAATCATCCAGTGATTTCGAATGAATAACTTTTTGAGCTCTTATCGCTATATTCGAGCACGGGCTTTACCTCGAGCCGCCGTAACGGCATTCGATATGGCTTATCATCTCGTCCTTCTACTCCCACAACCATGAAAACAAAACATCAATGCTCTTCTCCGCGAGTCGATGGCTATGCGTGTCACGTGGAACGCTAGGCCTAGTTGGGACTAGCCCGCTAGAGCTCTCGTTTACTTCTTCCATTCCTGCAACCCCACACAACTCTTAGAAGAACAAGACACAGATAGACCATAACAACGACTACTTCAGTCAACCTTTGCCATTGCGGTATTCCATTGCTTCCCCCTCTCATCCCAGATATGACAATGCGCGAGCTGAGTTGGCCGAAATCCTTTAAGGCATAGCCACATTGACCACGAAAGCGAAATCACTCTCATCTGCTGCGATGAACTTGCCAACAGCGTCCAGCATCCGCTAGCGCGTCCTAGATCGCCTTTCCCTATATGGCTTTGCTTTAGACCGTGCTATGCGTCCCACTTCTTTGGTCTTCTTCGACTTCTTTCTCGGCTTTCTCCTCTTCCTCTTTATCGTCTCCTTTCTCTTCTTTAGCTTCCTCTACTTCTTCTTGGTACTTAATCCAGATATCCGTGCTAACCTCCGAGAAAGGAATACAACGCTCTTTATGTCTAGGCCACGGTGAATAGACCGGGTGTTCTTTGACGTCGCGCTTATTTGGCGTAATCCAGAGGAATTCGAGTTCAATATCAAACGTCAATAGTTGTTGCTCGGCCCATTGGCTGTATTCATCCAAGAATCTCTGATGAGACTTCGAGTGATTTTTTCTCACTGTGATCTGGAGGGGGAAGAGGAATAATTTCGGCTTTTCCTCTTTAGTGGTTCTTTTAGAGGTCTTGACGAAGGTAATCATTCCATCTATCGTCTCGTAATTGATCTGTCGAGGGCGATGAAGTACCGGCTTATCGCGGATATCGAACTGAATATCGCGTTGACTCGTAAAGAAGCTGAAGTTTATACCTTCGTTACCCGCCCCGCAAGCCTTCAAACCTTGTGAGCGAATGGATGCGAGGATGGCGTATTCCACCCTAAACCCGACGTTAGATCGATTGTCGATAAAATCGCTCAATGAAGTCAGAAAGTTGATCTTGATAAACTTAGCATCCAACTCGAGAAGCTGATTTGCTACAGCGTCGCGAACTATACCGCAGGCATATCTCCCAATGTAGTCGTGATCCTGGTAACGCTGGTAAAAGTATCGATGGTCGATCAGTTCGATGTATCCCGTCCATCCTAATGGTACAGGCCAGTTATGAATGCAAGCCTTCACGTAGTCGCAATACCTGAAAAGTCAGAAATGTTCTAAGCATTAAATCAGTCGAACATACCACTCCCAATCATACTTCGTAGCAGTGGACTTGATCCGCCGCGCAAACGCCACAGATTCGTTAGAGATTTCGATCAATTTGGGGGCCGTCAAATCAAACTTCCTGTTCACGATGCAGTGGTTTAAGAGCAATGGGATGCAGCCCGTAACGTCTTCAACCTCATTCCGGGAGTACCCTCCTATATCAATGTCCTTATGCTGCTCCCACCACTGCTCCATTTCCGTCTAACCAAGTTAGAAGCCTCGTTATGACACAAATTTAACACCACTTACCTCACTGAAACCGCCATAGACGCGTACCACCTGGCTCGCGTTCTGATCTCTGAACACTTCGAGGCCCGTCGTACAATTAGCAGAGGAACTGAGAATTGATTTACCGAAAGAGGTGAACCCGATCACCCAGTCATATAGCGTTAGGGCCATCTTCCTATTTCGAATGTTATCACTCATTAAAACATCCATTTGATCAACGACAAATATGACATTTTCTTGACTGCCGAAGAAGTCCTTGATGTGATCTTGAGTGCGTAGGGCCATAATCTCCTTTTGAGTAGTGAAATCGTCAGCCCAAGCCAACAGCATTGCTGTTTTGACGTAGGAAACAGGATCGTCGAGCAGGCACCGGCAATCCGGTAGATAAACGACTCGTTCATCTTGAGCAGCAAAGTAGCAGACGAGGGCGGCTAGAAGGTGAGACTTCCCAAAGCCCTTGGTTCCATAGAGCCAGCATATCTCGTAAGCGCGACTCTTTCGCACTTTCTTTACCTCGTGGAGGAAGTCTTTGAACATTGTTCTCCCCATATATAGCCACTTGCCTTCAGTTATATCGGGCTCATTAAATCGTTCTGGTATACTACCGATAAATGGGAAGTCGAGCGTGTGATTTGATGTTGGATCGGAAAGTTTATCGACAACTTCAGGAAGGGGATCGACGGAATTAGAATGCTGGTTAGGAGAGTCGTTCATATGGGTAATCATATCCTTAATAGCCCTTCTTCGCTTATTCGCTTTAGTGGCTAATTGTGTCAGTATGACTTTCTCTTTATCCTTATCTTTTTGACGTCTTTTTGAAATGGGCGACTCTTCCGATAAATCTGTTTCATCCCCTGTAACGACATTAGCTAGCTGTCGTATAGTACATTAAAGGCGTAATTACCTTTCCTCTTTTGGCCGGCTGTCCGGTTCGGTTGATCGTCTTGACACTATTAGCTTATGCTTGAGTTGTATTCGCAGTTTAATCTTACTCTGTTTGCTGAATTCACTCGCAAGAGCCGCAAGAGCCCTGTAGACTCCAAGGGGCAAATGAATTTCTCTGAAAAAGTCTAGATCCTCAGCACACTTCGAAAAGGCGAAGCCATTGATTTTTGCCGCTTTGAATGTCACAACGTCCTCGTCATCGCAGAAAATGTTTGGTTGTATTTGCCGTATCCAGTCGAGCAATTGCTTATAGTTCCAACTTTCCATCTCTTGGATTGTAGGGATTCTCTTCTGGCCTTGCCCAGCTTCCTGATTGGAAGCGTTCATTATGATCGACGTGAAGCAGGGTCAAACGAGGGAGACGGGATGATGTGACGACTCGTACGCAGGCTGTGGAGAGTTCAAACTCGCCCATAAGCGCACGCGAACTGCCGTGAGACAAGCGGTTGCGAAGTTGAAGGCAAGGACTTTCGATCTGATTTTGAGGGTAGAGGAAGTAACAAGTGTGGCATATACGGTAGAGAACTTGTCGTTGGTAACGAGGATGATGAACAATATAAGGAGAAGATTGAGTGATTATTTAAGTAGAAAGGTCGAGAGCGCAAGTTGCCTTGAGTGCTATTGCGGGAGTTGGCTTGAGTTGAGTTGATTTCATACACTCTATGCGGGCAAAGCTCATGGAGGATTAGCTAATTGCTACGCGTTATTTACCGGTTCATTCCATGTCCAGCTATTAGATCCATCGACTCTACAAGACTGTTGCCCCTTTCGAGCCATTAACCAGGTCATCAAGAGCGCTTTCCTGTATGCTACTGGTCATTCAACGGTGTAGCAACTTCCGGTAGCTTTCGCAAATTCAATTACTGCACCGACAACTTTCATGTTTGCCTTCCATTTGTTCTTTAGGCCGTCTAGCCTTTCGTTGAACCACCCTCCAAGGAGATAGAACAGATCGCACCATCTTGTAGTTGCTATTTGAAGGTGACATCTACGCTCTATAGTTCGGCGTGAGTACTCCACAAGAAAGTGTCGCACTGTTTCCGGTCGTTGGCACCATTCATACAACTTCGAGTCTATTGCGCCAACGCTGTGAAGGGCACTGTTGAGACGACTTTTCCCTGTGCGTAGCTATTCCACGATTTGAGCTTCTTCGCGTTTCAGACAGTTATAGATTCGTCGTGTGTGCGTGCCTGGTAAGGCGTAATCTAACTGCTTCGTGTATTAGCCCTCGTGGCTGGTTTCGGACCGAGTTCTCTCGACGCTGGGGAATGCATTCCCTTCTTATAGGGCGGCCGACTTTACTATAGTGACTGGAGGAATGTCTCGATCTAGTTCTGTCGCTTTCTGCGCGTGCTTATGTGCCAATTCGCTGCCTAGAGTATCTGTACATCTAGGGACCCACCGAAACACGATGTGTGATGCTTAACGCTGGGAGAACCGCTGAAGTAGCGATACGAAGCGTGGCTGACTTTGTTCAATGGACTTTCTGATCCTCCAGAATAGGTGTGACGATAGGAGAGTATGTAGATCCACCCAGAACCGCCGTAGTTGGTCTGCTCATTAACCTGCCATTTGTTTTAGCGATGCCTCGGCTTCTGCGATCGGAAGCGTAATGGTTCGAAAGCCGGCAATGATGAAGATTGCTGCTATACGCTGAATTTGTTCGGCTGCACACATCGTTTTGGCCGATGCATTAATGGACCACACCGGTGACGCACAGGCTTACAAACAAATAAATCAAGTCAATTCGAGCCTCGAATATAGTTTGATTTGAATCGATTTGAATCTCAGTTGGATATTTGGATAGCTTCATTTTTTTTCCATGGATCATCTCGATATCGCGGCTTGTCCGTTCACACTCGGTTACGAAGCATCTCGAGTGCGATTAGTAGAGCCTGTATGGGTGGTCCACAGACCGGATCCGATACGTGGACTATCTCGATATCGACTTCTATCGAGTATGGTGCCCCGGCCAAATGGTCCACGAATTGGATCCGATGATGGTGCGACAAGGGCGAGTGCCACGTGACCACGTGACACCGCCAAGCCATTAACCAACGTGATTGGTTAGCACGACGGTCTTGGCGCCGCCACACAACGCCAAGCTGCAACCGGGTGGTTCAAAAAAAAAAAAAAGCCAAAAAAATAAGGTTTATATTTTATTCCGCCAAAAAGTGCTTCAAAATTGACACCAAATCGTGGTTGACCTATCCAGGACGAAATCGAGTGGGCACACTAGGTTTTAGTCGAACCGATAGAATTGAGGGACCTTACTAGTGTTCGATCATAGGTAAGGCAAGAGGGTTGTCCGGCCTAGATTTCTAGGTGCCCTAGATGGGTAAACGTAATGCTCCAGCCAGTGATTGTTGATGTTAAACTGAGTGATACCGAGGGGGGTTCAAACCTTCCTGTCGGTGAACTTGTCTAGCTCAAGCATTCATTGGTTGTGGCGCCCCATTTATCAGTTCGTCAGTGATGGACTATAGGAGGGGAGCTTTGGTGTTGATTATTTTTGCCGTGGTGAAGTTGTGTGTATATTACATGACATGCTGTTAAATTTTCTCGTGCAACTTGAATTTGAATGAATACTGTAGCTGTCGAACAAGGAGTTATTATACACAGGCTTCACCACTGAAACACTGGTAAAAGGTTTCCATGGACAAAGTTATCCCTAATGGTTGCTCTGCGCGACGACGAGATAATCTCACGTCTATAAAGGAGATGTTGAACAAGTGGATAATAGTACTGAAGAAATGGTGACCTATCGTTCACGACGAACCAGGATATTTTGCAGCAATCGTGGGAATGTATCGGGGCAGCGACCCTTGGCAGCGACATTCGTACCACAGCGACCTGCTAAACACCAATTGAGCCTAGTTGTGCGAGGGTTGCCCGGAGGATGGCGAGGTACCTCAAATCCCTAGGAAAATGGGGGGTTTTCAGGTACCTTTCCATCCACTTTGCCTCCCTCGCATAGTTGGCCCTTTTTGGTGTTCTTTAAGGCCTTTCGACAGAGCTATTTGCACTCGACTTTAGAAGCCTTTTCACACTCGATTTTGGTGTTGTGTATCAGGAGCTCTCTGTCGCCTATTTAGTCTGTCTAAAGTCCCCCTTCCCCCTCTTGCCTCCTGACCTCGCTGTTGACCACCTTCAGAGCCTTCCTGATGCTCTGTGAGCCTCTTGTGAATCTTGTATGAGTCCTTGCTCCTTTGCCTCTTTGTATCTCGCCGTGTGGTTGCGCCTTCTCTTTCCTCTACCTCCTCCTAGTGCTGGAGGTGCCGTAGACGCTGGTAGATCGAAGATCTGGGAATGTCTCGGGAGAGCGACAACCCACAGCGACTCGCGTACCACAGCGACATCACTAAACACCAATCGGGCCTAGTTGTGCGAGTGTTGTCCGCATGATGGAAAGGTACCTGAAACCCCCCATTTTCCCTGGGGATTTGAAGTACCTTTCCATCCACCTGGCCTCCCTCACATAGTTGGCGCTTTTTGATGTTCTTTCAACGACGTCGTTGACCCCTTTTAACGGAGTCCTTTGCATTCGCCTTTCCACGCCTTTTTGCACTCGATTTTGGTGTTGTGGCGTGTCAGACCCTCTCTGCCACCCCTGTGGCTTGTCTGTCGCCTGTGTAGTCCTCCTGCCGCCTCGTGACCTCGCTGCCGACCCCTTCAGGGCCGTCCTGACGCCCTGCGAGCTTCCTGTGAGTCTTGAATGAATCCATGCTCTTTTGCCTCGTTGTATCTCGCAGCGTGAGTGTGCATTCTCTTGCCTCTACCTCCTGCCAGTGCAGGAGGTGCTGTAAACGCCGGAATTTCGATTGGCGAGCCCTCAGGAGAGGGCGATCGACGCGGTCGGGTCTTTCAGGAGTGCGAATCGGTAGACGCCGTGAAAGAGGAGTAATCTGAGGCGAAGAAGGAGGAGTTTCAAGGACAGGAGGGGTCTCGGGGCGAGAAGAAGTAGTTGGTCTTGCTGTCGAGGCATTTAAGGTTAGATCGATCCGAAAGGTGGACATCATTTTGGAGCGCACCTTGAGGGCGCTTGCCAGAGGTCGCCGACAAAGAAAGTGGCCATTGAGGCTGCAGCAACAAGAGGTCAAAAAGGGTCAAACAGGACTCTGCAACACCAGGAAGTCTATACAAGTCGCGAATCGAGCAACAATGAGGCAAAGAGCTCGCAAATACCAAAAGTATGTGAATGCCTCAATTTTGATGTTTTGATACCTCGATTTGTGCGATTTTACTAGGGTTTGGGTGGGGTTTCCAGGTACCTTTCCATCATGCGGACAACGCTCGCACAAGCTAGGCCTGATTTGTGTTTAGCAATGTCGCTGTGGTACGCGAGTCGCTGTGGGTTGTCGCTCTCCCGAGACATTCCC